TTAGATACTATATAGGACAACAAAACGTTGTATTTTTGTAAAGTGTATACTGTAGAATGATATATATTGAATACGTCATGAGTTATTCGTGCATACAGTTGTATCGAAGTAATAAGTTAAACGTCTTATATTTTGTTGTTATTATTTGTTTTCTATTGAGTTTTAAATTATTTATGAAAAATCCAGTGCTAGAAATGTTTTTTTACATTGGTGTAAATACTTATAAGCGTAATGCAGATGATTGAAATAAAAATATGACTAGTTATGACATTCCCACAAATTATAAAAATACATTTTTTCCCATATAAGGGGAAGATGTCATATCTACACAAATTACTGAAATTGCTGTACCTACATCAAGAAGTAGACCAAATTTCACCCACCGCCATCGAACACTGTTTGATATTCTTTTTTTTTGCTAAACATTTTTTTCTAAGCAACTATATTTCAAAATTTCCATTTAATTGTCTTGATTACTTTCCACTTGTCACCAATCACCCAACAATGTTATGGTCCAAGTACATCGCTGATTCTCATGAAGTCACAGATGAAAAACGGTCGAAAATTTTCAGTTTGTTGGACAATTATTGATCCATTTTTAATTACTATCCTGGATTAAATACTTTATATAAGTAGTAGTAGCTGCGAGGTATTGGAAAATGTTCCAATCAAAGTGAAGCCTTAATCTATATTCTATACATTTTCCTTGTGACATGCAGTTGAAAAAGAAACTCCGATGTATGCTACCGTGGAGGGTGTCGAAAAGTATTAATCATCATACTATAATCTAATTGTCTGTGTTATGAAAGGAAACAGATCTATTCGTTTAAGTTTGAGCTAAATAGATACGTAACTTTTAGATGTGATAGGAACTCTTATACAAGTAATAACTAGTTGTAGTGGTGGAGGCCTAAGGGACATTAATAACTGTGAAAAATGAGTTGCATCTCACAAAAATCACTTCAAACTGTTTGACGGTTAATTTTTTTTGTCCATCACTATCCTGGTGACACCACTGGTCTCCTAGTAAACATMTACCTTCGTAACCATCTATTTTCATCTATTTTGCATCKTCATTTCCAGATATGAATTATACATTATCTAAAGATCAAATTTTAAGTTTGAAATTGTGAGTTAATATTTTGTAATTTGTTTTTTTCTTCATAAATTAGTATGCTTGGCATTTAAAAATTTAAAACAACTAATATTTTAAAATTTAGAATCTTAAGGTATATGTTATATTATGTTATGATATAGTTAATGGCATTGGTATATTTAACAATACCTTGCATTTTCTTTTGTTGATTACAATCACAATCAGGACCAGATTGAGAGCAATGATTATCATTTGAACAATCAGTAAGCTTGTCCGTATCATGACATCTGATTTTTGAATCTTCATCTTATTTAAATTAATTGAAACTGAAAATAAGAAAAARTTAACCATCAATATTACAATAAATAAAGTATAAAAATAATATCACAACTTATATGAATTTCATTAAATACAATTGTATTTTATTACTAAATAATACTCGTGTATAATTATATTAATGTATGTATTTTATTTATCGACGGTCATGAGTTGAATTTATGCTTAATTGATCACATTATCAGGATATTCGTATAGGATGAATTAAGAATTYATAGATTGTATAGTAATAACCTCATAACATATAATTCTTACCATTTCAGAGTTCACAATTTAAATATTAGTATGATATATTCATAAATGTATTAAAAGTCATTAACAAAATGGTACGTCAAAAAAAAAGTGTGAATGTTGTTGAACACTCGGTAGGAACGAAGTTCAGTGCATGTGATACGAGAAGTGGAAAAATATGAAGAAATAGAGAGAGAGAGAGAGAAATGAATGCTTGTATAAATATATCGCGCGCATGGTAATAAAATTATAATCAATTTTTTCTAAGTATATGAAAAAATGGTATATAATTTTATAATCATCATAAAAGTACAAATCAATTATGAAATTAATCAGTATTCTTAATAACAGTAAATATAGGTCTGTGGTAGCTGAATGTGTCACGTATGTTTGTGATTGAATTTTCTCTATATATTAATATCTCGAAAAACTCCATCAATAGTAGTATTGTATCTTTTTGTAGTTTCCAACGGATTATTATTGATGGTTAAATCAAATTCTTCGGAAAGAAATTTTAATAATGACTGATTTTTTTTTATCAGCAAAGTTAACTTTGAAATCGCCGGCTAAAATGAGTGGGGGGACTCCATGTAAGCCTTTCTGCCATCTGCTTAACGCYACAGATCCATTTTCAGAATATTCTAATAGTGATCGATGAATGAATTCTGCAATATCATCATTTTTTGATTTGGCGAGACGTAAATGACTGCCATGATAAAATGTATACCGTTTTCCGTCAGACACTCAGCTGAATATAATATATCTACAACCTTAGAACACCTTAGGCTCATATCGTGAAAAATTTTCAGGATTAGATCCATGTTCGATGTTACAACATTAGTCTTGTCATTTTTATTGTAATAAATTCCAACTCCACCTGCTCGAACAGAATCACGCTTAAACTTAGCAATACAATCGGAATTTGGTAATTCACATTGCTCTTCATCCTCTAACCATGTTTCTGAGAGTAATAAAAAGTTGCTTTTTTGTGTCGTTTAAATCAATGGAATGTTTTCGCAAGCTCTCAACGTTAAGAGCTATAAATGAGATATTTTTATTATTACCCATAAATTCAATAATTGTTTGCGCTCTTGTTTGCAGTTTATTTAAAGAAAGCCATTTGAACTCTTGTAACAAAATAATAAGAAATAAATGAATGAATGAATGAATAAAAAAGATAACCAAAATAAATGATAATAAAGATAAATGAAAGTAACCAAATTACTTAACGCGCTTGAATTTTTCTCTTTAATGTGACTTCCATTGGAACACATCATAGTTTTTTAAATTTTTGTTTTTGTCGATATTCTTTATACCTAATAGTTAGCGCGAGAATTTTCGGATCTAAAAAATCAAAAATAATAAATAAGTAAATGAGTGAATAAATCAATAGATAATAAATAAATGAATAAATAAATATTTCAATCGAATATTCTCTCAAGAAAATTTTAATGAACCTAACCAGGATGTTGAAATGATCAACGTAGTATCTTACCCTTGAAAGTTGCCAGTTTTTCTGAATTGATTCATTATTTTCTTTTTTAGAATTCACAATYACTGATTTCGTCTAATGGATCACTATCACTGTCAGATATTTGTTTATTGTTTTCTAAGACACTTTGATTTKACTATTTTTTTCTCTTTCTAAGCTCTTTGCACCGTTCTTCATTCATTTTAGTAGTTATAAGTTTCTAACTTCTATCTTAGAAGTCAAAAACAAGTCACGTAAATACAAAGATTGCATACACGTACACACGTAGGCTACTAAACAGCTGATGCGCGCGAGAATGCGGACAATAATGTTAACGCACACTAATGCAAGCATCGACTATAGTACGAGTATACATGGTATATTATTTATTTAGCCACAGTTAGCAGTGATAATAAAAGCAAGGGACTGTTCATAATTTCATGTTCTACCACTGTGTATACAACATCAATCAGTCCGTTGCCAAAATGAAAAATAAATWAATTAAATTTCTTATCGAACTTAACATCAATAAAAAATAATATTTAAGAAAATCTCTTTAAATCCTATCATAAACTCAAAACCCCGTGTAACCTTGGCGGGGTAGTTGCCTCCCGGACATTTTTTAATTTTTTTTTTTTTATTTATTAATTTAATTGTGTCAATACATCAAATATTTTTACTATGTCATAAATTTACAATTACAATTATGTGTTTACATAGTATTTACAATTTTTACTAATTTTTAGTTAAATTATAATTATGTCCAGATCCGTGTCTGAATCTGAGGTGTCTTCTTTGGGTTCAAATAGTATATCCTGTGGTAGCCGTGGTTTTAATTTTATGTTGATGGAATTCTTCTTGGACCTAAATCCAGCAAAAAAATAAAATCCTAAATGGGGGGCGGGGTTCCCCCGTTCCCTAAAGCGGAAAACTGTAGTACTTTACATAAGGAAGGGTTTTCCCTTGGTCCGAGGTCTTTAACTTTAATTCCTGCCAAGTTATACTTAACTTAAAATGTGAGGGTGGGAACTTTGGTTCCCTAATGGTAGAAATTCATCTGRGGCCTTAAAAACTGAAATCCCTCTCGGTCCGGGGTCTCTAAGTCAAATACCTGTTAAGTTATGCTTAGTCAACAAAAAAGTGAAGTGATGTGAGGAATGTCGCTTCTATATTATCATAGAACAGTATAGAAGCGACACTCTGCTTGGTGGTCGATCTCTGGTGGTTTAGTGTTGACGTTGTAAATGATTACCTGGTGGTTTAGGAGTGTTGTTATGAACGATTTTTATTTACGATAAAAGGTTTGTTGTTTGTGTACGTTTTAATCCTATAAGTAATAACGTTATAACCTAACCTTCACTGCTTGCGGCTATCTAACATCAAGTTTGAAGTAACAACTGTTTCGCATTACACGTTCAACAATTATTTTAATTTTAATTACTATTAGTAATTATAATATAATTTACTATAATTTCTGTGATATCATAATGATTTGCACTGTGATCTTAAATTACACCCATATAAGATTATGGTAACTCAGGAATTAAGTCCAACAGATTGGGGAAAACGAAAAGATTGCTGTAATGCAATCCTAACAGTTGTGCCTACCAACGGTATTGTGTGGAGTAGCGACGAAGCACATTTCCACATTTCTGGCACAGTGAACAAACAAAATTTTCGTTATTGGGCTGCTGAAAACCCTCTAAAAATACACCAATGACCTATTCATAGTCCTGAAGTAACAGTTTGGTGTGCTTTGTCCTCGGTAGGCATCATGGGACCTTATTTTTTTGAAGAGGGTGGTGTTACAGTTACTGTGACTTCCAACCGGTACTACGAGATATTGGAGAACTTTTTACGCCCGAAAATCGAAGAGTACGAAAATAATGATGTCTTTTGGTTTCAACAGGWTGGAGCCACAAGCTCATACAACCCGTTGTTCTCATGCTGTATTGCAAAAAATGTTTCCTGGTCGCTTGATTTCCTTAAGGGAAAACATTACATGGCCTCCTCGCTCCCCTGATTTGAGCGCATGTGATTATTTCTTATGGGGATACCTCAGAGCTGAAGTTTTCAAACATCGACCAAGAACCATTGAAGAACTTAAAGAGGCCATCCGTCATGAAATCTCCACTCGATATGCTGGCGAAAGTGATGGAAAACTTTCGAGAACGGCTMCATATGTGCGTTGCTCGTCAAGGCAATCATTTAGACGATATAATTTTTAAAAAAACCTTATATAATATAGTTTTTAAAAATAAAATTTTTTTTCTTTATCTTGTATCGTTTTTTTTTAATTAACTTCGGAAATGTGAGAGTCCCTTATGCCACACCCTGTATAAGGTGCAGAGATTTAGAATGTGGAGAATGGGGTTAATGACATGAGGTACATAGTTTATATTATAAATATATTTCATAGAAATTAAAAATGCTGCGGTTAACACAATCGAGTTATTCAAAAGCATCAAAGTGATTTGAAGAGTTTGAATATTTCCCAGCTGTTATTTTAATAAAACATAACACTTTAAAGGCCATACATGTAWYATGTTCAATATGATTCAGAGAACAGACAGATGGAGTTTGTCAAGTTTGAAAAATTAAAATCAAGGGCACAAACAAGAAGAATCAGAAGTGGATACATTTAAACAGAAAAAAATAAAATTACCACCCACAAAAAGTGCATCTAAAAAGTTAAATAAAATGATTCGTTGGTGAGTTACTGAATAAAGGCAATAGCGAGAGGAAAAAAATTATGAACAAATTTTTTAATGCCGATGATTAAGATCCGATTGATGTTTTTTTCAAAAGTATGGCGTTGACTGTGAAAAATTTTTCCCCAGCTTTGAAAGTAAAKGCGAAAATTGATATTTTACGGATAGTTAGTGAATTGGAGATGGAAAATAATCAACTGACAAAAGAAATAAGCAACCAAAACAGTTTAAACGTGGATACTTCGTGTTATAGTCGAGCTAGTTCCCAATCACTCTAGTCAGGAATTCCAACATATAATTATTCTACTACATCAAACTCATTGGAAGCAGAAAATAATGGATCGGTTGAAGAAAGTATGACCCTAGTATCACCTAAGTATCATCTTGGAGTACAAAGCCTTGATAGTTCCTGATTTCTTCATGTATGACACAGCAATGCTTAAAAATAGGAGGATGTCATCATAAAGAACACCGCCGGGCCACAGAAGAAACATTGAGCTGTCAAAAAGTTTAGTTATTGTAGAAAAATTGGCTTTTTCTAAAACTTCAGCATTTAGTAAATATATTTTTCCTGGTC